GAAGGTGGTCCTCAGTTGGTCTGGGAAGCGAGAACGGCTATGACGTGTGGAGGCGTCTGGGAGCCATTCTCTGGTCCAAGGTCTCCGGACATCATTTGTCCTCGGTATTTGTGGGGCCTCCAGTCGATGCGGGTAGGTTTAATGAATAGACTGATGGGGAAGACTGTGCATGAAAATGAAAGGCAGGAAAATGCAGAGGATTAACCACCAGGATGACAGAAGCAGCAAACTGTCGTATATGTCAATCCTCCAATGGCCGGTAGGACTAAAGTTGAAAGGTGACATTGCGCGACGCCATGGTGCCGATGGATAACCGGCAATGCGCAAGGGGTCTAGCATGACTAATCCAACTCGGGCAAACTGCGTCTACATCCTGTAGCGGCCGAGGACGTCAAGAGTGACACACACGAAAGTAAAGAAACGCTGAGAAGAGATCCTGGCAGAGGTAGACCTGAACAGAACTGTTAACATCTCTCGAAACTCATTCACACGAGGAAGAAGAAGGAAGTACGTCAAGTATGGGGTATAGTGTAATAGAACGACATGGATATGGAGAATGTGTATAACAAACGTTAATGTACACGCAGAATGAGGAACTGCGAAGAGATTCCCTGTCTGGATGAGTGGGTGACCCTGACATACTTGCCAAACAGCCGGTGGAGATTCAGCGCTGTGGGCAGCTGCCGCGAAGGGCCGAGGGGAGTGGCCGACGTTGAGTGGGAGAGAGACGAGAGCAAGAGTGCGTTGCGGGAGGGGAGGTCGGCGGTAGCTAGAGGAAGGAACACCGGCCGTCTTCACCAGCACGCAGTTGCATCATCTCCATCCCAGGTCCACGCCAAAAGTGTTACAACATTCAAACAATCATGTTCCTGCCAAGGGGCGTTACAATGCATACAGTATAAACTTGCCGTAGAAACGAATGAGCCAATCGCGAACGAGACTTCGGAAGGCGATGCCTGATTGGACAACGGGCATTTCCGGTTTTTTCCCGTAGCGTGCAGAGTTGGCTTTTCCGCTTCGGCACCGTTGTGTCTCGCCACTTCCTCATATCCAGTTCCCAGGTAAACCCTTCTCACTAAGAGACCTTCTTATTTGGTACGGTGTCTTGTTCGCTTGCTCGCTGCAGTTTTTGCTTTGTAGTAACTAAAACCACGTTTAACCTACCACGTGTCTATCTGTCCCATATGAGGTTTACGTACTTTAGTGCGTTTGTTGGGTAATTTGGGATCTACTTTTTCCGGCTCTGCGGATCCGTTTCTGCAAAACAGGAATGGTAAGGATGAAATCGACAATCGGTAACGTATATATGTGGCCCTCGCCAGGCTCGGAAAGAACTTTCGGGACCGACTTGGCAAAAGGTCACTGTAGGTATACGATGTCTCTGCTGAAACAATTCTTTTAAACGGGTGGTGAACATGACCCGTGTCCTCGGCAGATACTGCTTACGCGGACTGGCCGAACAATGCGGATTATACCCCTTCCGTTGAATTCCCTTTTCAAGTGTCTCTCGAACGAACGAATTAGTCAGTCAGGAGCACAGACCATTAAATAGACCTCTTTTCTTAGCCCCGTGAGATGGCCAAGCCACTGCTGCTCTGAATTGTCCGGGGTGTCACCTCACTAGAATCCGATCCTGGTTAGCAATGCCCTTAAGGTGGCTAAACGAAGAGATGAGAGAACTGGCGGAGGTGGACCTCAAGTGCATTTCTTGCCATGAGTTGTTTGGCACGAGTTGGTGTGATGTCTAATTTAAATTTGCTCAGGAATGGGTCGCCATCCATTTGCAATAAAAGGTGACCATTCGATGTGACGCGCACTCAAAAAGTGGATGAGTACCATTTCTGGGGGCCTGATCGAGTTCTAGACGGTTGTGATAGGCTCGTGCTGAGAATATGATGGAAAATAGTGTGGCGATAGTGGGCCTTGGTCGCATACATGCGGTTTAGTTATGCAACCTGATCGGACGACAAAAACAAACGATCATTCTGGTAGGTTGATTTACTTATTCGCTCTGTAGTGGCGTACTGAAAAGAAACCAGAAACCCAGATACTCCCGGCTGAATCGCAGAATTATGCTTTTTCCTCCAACTTAAATTGACGGCGACGTCGGCAGGCTAGTACCGTAGGAACCATTGGATATAGCTGACAATTTACATGGGACATTCCTCAAATTTTGGCTGCAGTCGAACGTTTTACCACATTCGCAAAGTTAGCCTGTGTGTCCCATGTATTGTAATTCGGCCAGCAGTATAAATTGAAGGCATTACTGACATTTTGGCCCAAGTCGAGCACTGGAGTAAACATTGACAGCCTTCCGAACAAGAATCGATTACTCCCAGCCCCCCACCCTCCTCCTTAAGGAGGCTGGGGGCTCTCTCTGTGACCAGTTATCGGTAGGTGATGTCTCTTGTCGCCCATCCCCTTTGGAATCGCTATCGACCTACTTCTGGAGTAGTTTAGACTGTGCCGTATTTGCAGCACACCGTCGGCGACCGATGGTTTTTTTCTAAAAGCCATTTATTCCTGTAAAGCGGAACTTTGTTTGCCAACTGCTTTGTGTACCGATAATCTCTCACGCACCGTGACTTTTTCGTTTACAATAGGATATTATTTGTTTTATCTGTTATGTTTTCATGTGATTAATCTGCTGACTATCTTGGGGCTCTTTGACAGCCATTGGCTCCTTAGTCTCCGCGATGTCTTTTCGTTTCCTCCTCTGGGACATCCTGTAAAATATCGTTAGTTTTTGTTGTCCTAACTGCTATCTGAAACAAGTCCGCAATAAGCATTATAATTTTGCACCATGCGAAAATACTGGACCGATGGAAACTTAACGAAAGCTCACGTATGCTAGCCAAATTGCCTTCCGAATCATTTTCCCCTGTTTAGTAGATCTTTAGATCCCATTCCGCTCTCAAAGCAACATCCATAACTTTTGTTTGCCATATTCGCCGAAATTACCTTCCGTATTAATGGAAACGTTCGCGATTAGCTTCTCTGTCTCGTCTCATTGCAATTGGAACTTTGCGAACTGTGTGGACCATAATTTGGTCAGCAAATTCTTCGGCCGGCGCTGACCGTCTGTTCGCCTCTCCCTTTGTCTGGTTCGAAGAACCCCTCCTATAGAAAATTTGGAGTCTGCAAGATTCCTCTTTACAATCAGGCGCGTAGCAATTTGAGCTTGACTTGCACAATCGACTGACAGTTTGACCGTCGTTGCCGAGGATGTTCAACGTGTGCTCCACGGCAAGGTGAAGCAGGCAAGGTGATTTGCACGTGAATTAGTTTATAGGGAGAGTAGACTTGCGCATCATCTATCCCTACTCCTTCGCCACCTGGATCCGGTGTCAAGACAGAGTCAAGAAGACCAGAGGCGGGGAGGGGGCGCAGGTGCATGACAGGGTCGAGCCCGCACCTTGGCGCTCCACTCCACACCCCCTGGTCGACAGCAAATGACCAGGATTTTAACCAACACAATAAGGGGTCGACGTGGCCGAAGCCGCACCTAGGCATGCTGTCACACCTGGCTCGGATCCCACGGAGTGGGGATGTCATAAAGGCCACATTAAGAGGGAGTCATTGCAGCCCGACCCTTAGACCACACAAACACCACACAAACACACAACACTGGGCCGACTGCGAGGTCCAAGTTATCCCGTCAGTTGACAACCTTCTAAGAAACGGCTTTTGATGCAGCGTAATAGCTTCGAGCGCGTCAGCTTGTTTGTAGTGGGGTAGATGCGCTGAGTCGTCGACCTCACTCTCCCTTCCCATTGTCAGGTCCCAGCCACTGTCCGAGCCGGTCAGTTGACAGGTGCGGGGAGTGGGCGCGGTGACTGACGTATTTAGTGAACTTGTGTGCGCGCGCCACATGCACGGCCTGACCCACCAAACACAACCATCAGGATGGCACACGTCAGGGGGTGGGTGGCATGCATTTCACATGCGCGAGAGTGCCAGAGATCACGCAACGTCAAAAAGGAGGCATTTCAGCCTGCTTCTCGGCCCATCAGTCTGCCGCTTTAAATAGACACACATAACTGGGTAGACTGCGTGGGCTGAGTTGGGACGTCAGTCGGAAGTCCTCCATGTCACGAGACCTGACGCACCGGGATAGTCTCTGGCTCAGATCATACATGCACCATAGGAGCCACATGGAGCAGAGGCAGAGGAGCACACTTTCGTGCTTGCGTTGTGTGGTAATGAGTGGTGTTCATGTGTGTCGTAAGTGCTGGTAAGGAAAGGTGTGAAGTTGTGGTATGGCCGGCAGTGGTCTATTGCAGGTCTTCACGAATGCACACGTGACCTGTTAGGCCCATGTGGTGGCTGAGTGTGCAAGGAAATCGCGGTCAGTCGAGGCGAGTGCGTCTGGTGTATGTTGGTGTTCCAGGCACTGGTTCGCCAGTCTGTGCGATGAATTCGCAAGTGACTGACCAGGCCTATGGGTAAGGCGCGGGGACAGCGTAGGCAGGATAGTTCGGGTGCGTCGGACGAGATTTCGGTGGTGATGGTTGTGGGGGTCGAGCTGCCGTTGGTAGACGCGCTGGGCGATGATTTGCATGATAGACTAAAGTATCGAAGTCGGTCTCCGTCTTGATGACTATAATCGGTAGTTAGAGGCTTACTCTACGGTTTAGAACTGACCGAAAAACTTCCCTTTGTAAGCTGAAGTTTTTGGAGTACCTCGAGCTGTTATTTAAATTTCTTTGTCATTCATTTCCGTCGTATTTTGTCTTTTTTAATGCCTTGTAGAAATGGCGGCCCACGGTTCAGGAGAGGTTCTTCTTATCGGCTTGTGGCTTTTGTTTCTGACCACTTTGTGTGTTTTGATCGTGCAAATTTGCCGCTGGATTAAGAATCGTTATGTCGTTGTCCATTGCTGGTTCTGCAATGATTCTAACAGAATTCATGTGTCAGCACGGAATTCATTTGTGTGTTCTTCATGCAAGCAGTATAATGGCTTTACACCGTCTGGTGACTACAATAGGGAAATTCCGGAAATGCACCGAACCAATTGCAATCCCTCTGCATTCATAAGCCAGGTACGTGTTATAGTTATTCTATTCACAACTATTTTTGAATAGTCTAAGGAAGCCTTCGTTTCCCATTCGGATGTTCTCTGTGCCGCTTGTGCGCAAAAACAAGAACATAAGTTGCTCGAACTTTCTCAGTTTGAAGCCAGCGCTGATGCCAACTGGGATGTGGAAATTGAGGCCTTTCGCCAAAATCTGGAGACACGTTATGACCTCTGCTCACCCTGCAAGACCAAAGTTCGTTCACGAATCTTACAGGTGAGTACTTTGGATATTTGTCCAGTTGTCTGTCTTCTGCCTCTAAGTGATCGTGCTGGGCTCTCGGCGCATCAGTCCGCCGCGTCAAATAGACACACATAACTGGGTAGACTGCGTAGGCTGAGTTGAGGCGTCAGTCGGCAGCCCTCCAGGCCACAATGCTTGGCGCACACTTCCCACTTGCGTGGGAGGTGGCAGTTGGATGCTTGTGGTTGGTGTTGTGTGTTGCAGGTGGGGGAAGATGTGTTGGTGGGGTGTAGCCGGCAGTTATCTACCGCAGGTTATTGTGAATGCGCGTGTCGCCCATTAGGCCCATGCGGTAGCTGAATGTTCAAGGGCAGTGCAGACAGTTAAGGCGAGTGCTTCTGGTCTGTGTTGGTGTTCCAGGCACTGATTCGCCAGTCTGTGCAATGAATTCGCAAGTGACCGACCAGGCCGATGCGCGAGGTGGAGGTGTGATCGCAATGTAGAGAAGTATGGACCGAGTCCACATCGCGGGTGTGTGCAGTGGTGAGGTTGGTGTTTGTCGGTCCGTTAGGATTGTGTGCAGTGTTGGTAGGTGCAGAAGCCGTCGATGCGGACGTTGAGGCCATGGGGGAGGATGGCAATGGGGTTCAGGAAGGCGATCAATGCTGATTGTCGGCGTGGGGGACGAGAAAGAGGTGGACGGCGGGACATCGGCTAGTATTGTTCGAGTGCTGCAGTTTGTACGAAGATGTCCAATGAGACCGCTTGGTGCTTGAAACGTCCGCTGGCATCGTGGGCAGGTTGGGTCGGTTGATTGCTGGCGTTGCGAGGCGGCGATACTTCAGATTTGCGAGCTTCGCACTCGACTTTGGCGGCGATGATACGGTTGGCTTCGTAGATCGCCGCGCCGGCCTTTAATGCTCTCCGCCAGGTCAGTTGGTCCCGGGCGAGATCATACTAGTTGATCCGAGCAATTTGTAGGCGCATCAGGGAAGTCTTCAAGGTGTCATTGTAGTGCCGTACACGACTTTCTTGTCGGCGAAAACCCGTGGCAGCATCTCCATAGAAGAGCCGTTTGGGTAGACGCTCGTTGTCCATCCGCACGCGGTGGTCACTCCAGCGCAGTTGCAGTTGTCTCAGCACGGCCTAGATGCAGAGAATTTCTGTCCGTTCCAGTAAATCTGTCAGGATCCTCATTGCCACCTCAGCTTCAATATCCGTTGAAAAGAGCTGAGGTGGAAGTGGTTGAGTATTCGTACCTGTTTCTTGCACACCATCTAGGCCTATGCTGCATACACCAGCGTCGGCAGGATGACCACTTTGTACATCTTCAGTTTGGTGTTGAGGTGCAGGTCATGCTGATCCCAAACTGTTTCGCAGACGACCGAAGGCTTGGCTAGCCTTGGAAATCCGGCGGGTCACCTCATCGTCGAGTTTGGAGTTATGAGAGGGTGCTGCCCAGGTAGGTGAAGTTGTCCACGGCTTGCAGTTGGGCGCCGTCGACGTTGATTTGGGGTGCGGCGTAGGCAGCGTCGGGTGGCAGTTGATGCATAGCCGCCGCCTCATAGTAGATATAAATGTGTCCACACTGAATGTGCAAGCGAAGCGGGAAGAGGCATGTTTTCTTGACATCCGTAAAAAGCCTACATGTTTTTTTGCCTAAGTGACCCACTATTGCCAACATATATACCGGAACGGTTGCTTGCGTTCCGTCAGTCTTCTAGGTGGTGGGTAGTATTCCTCTTTTTTCAACCCTCTTTTCAAGAATTGATACATTCGTTGTGCCCGTGGATTACGTGTCTGCATCAATTTGGGGGTGGTCGTTCGGCCGACCCTTTACGTGCCAGAAGCTTAAGTTCTTGAGAGTCAGCTAGCTCTGTCCTGCGGCTGTATCAACCCTTTGTTCAACGTTCTCGTTGTGCTCCTTATCCATATACTGTGTTTTGCGGTAGCTTTTCCTGAGAAAGAAGTTTTTCTTTAACTCTGTTAGTGAGGACTAAAAATTCAAACTTACAAGCTAAAAAATTAAAAAGTTTATGCAGAGCACAGAACCTTTTTAGATTACCTCTGCATTTAGAAATTTTTGCTGCGAAAATTTCCGATCAGATTGTTATTAGTAAAATGAGTTTACTTTATTTTATGAGTAGTTGAGGCCTATTTGTGACAATATTGTCTGGGTTTCGAGGCTTAGATCGTTTACCTTGTCTAGGCGCATGCAGGTGGGTTTTTTTTGGAGTCACCACTTTCTTGGCGAACTTTGCATAATGAACATCCAGTTCCCGCCGTTTTGAATGAAATCTACTCTAGCAGTGTACATCACGCGGCTGCTGGTTTCTCTGAGATTCTCGTCTTACTGATTACTAGTTGCAATGTTACCGTACTTGATTTAATTGTATTATGTTGCCGGATGACACATTTAAGCATTTAAACTACGGTCTCTTGGCTAAGTTATCACGGATGGAAGATGGAGAGAACTATTCACTGAGTCAAGAGTTGATTTCCCTTTCAGTCCCCTTAGTCGTCGGAAATGTCAGCCTTCTAACACTAGTTTTCGGTTGGGTTTGGGCAAATACTCGAGAACTAGACGTGTGTCATTAAGCAACGAAGAAAAATGCACCGGGAATGTGAATTTTCCCAAGTTTCATACCGCCCAGTGGGTAGCTTAATGCCTCACGGGGGCATTGACTGAGGGACAGAATACGGGTGGTCCGCTTTGACCATGGAGCTCGGGAATTGGGATGTGGCTGGCTGAAGATGATAACAAAGTTGGAAATGGCCGCCCCACTCTTCGCCGACAGTGCCTCTCGCTAGTCGAGTCTCCCTCTTTTTGTTGAAACTTCCGCAAATCAGGCTGATAAAATACCAACGAGTAACCTATCTCTGACCGTGCCGCCTTAATGTCGTCGAAAATTGTTAATTTTTACCGTTTTGTCCGGTAGGGGCTGCACTCAAAAGCTTGGGTGCACTCGGTGCCTTGCACTATTTCCACCTGATTTTGCGTGGCAGTCTTCCACAGCCTCCCTAATTATCTTGCTCTATGGATTTTTAATTTCAGCGCTCACGTTGTTTCTGATGGTCGGCTCGAATGCACGTCATGTAGCCCAACTTCATGTTCCGATGATCGAAGTTGCTTTACTACTTCTAGAGATGTACGCCATAGACAACCATGACCTCATAGCTCAGCTTCGTGCATGTGATGATATAAGGAGCACCAGCATTTATTTGACAGTTTAAAATCGTAATTTGATCAGTGATTATCAGCTCCTTTATCCTGCCATAGTTGTTCTTTTTCTCCCAAAACTTAGTCCGACTCGAAAGTTTTGCCGCAGTTTCTCTCCTGGTGTCAAAATCGTCATCAGAAACCTCATACACCCACTGCTGAGCAATCAAGAAAGGATAGTGCGCACGTAGACGAAGGCGACAGCGGCTTCTACTACTCTCTCTTGAGATTCCTTCTTCGACTCTTCTCTGTCACCGGGTGGACGCTTTTATGGTGTGCTCGTATCTACTCGCAAGCCGTTTCACGCTTCTGTTACGTGCCCTGCGGTCCATATAACCAACTATCCTCCACTTTAGTAAGGCTTCTGCGCTATCTCGGTCTCCGCTCCGATCACTGCGGTCGACTGGCCGATTTCGAGCTCTTCATGGCTCGTGTTACCAGCTCTGAACTACTGTTAGCCCTTCTATGTGCGACTCAAACATTCCTCGTCGTTCTGCACTGGCGGTGCCGTCGACCTGCTGTTGCTGGTTTCTCGAAGACGAGCCCTTTCTGGATACTTCTCGACACTTGCCTGTTAGTCTACTCTGCGAGATGTTTACTCTCTTTGTCCTTACCCTCGCCATTCAAGTCTGCAAGTGCCGTGGGCAAGCAATTTGCGCAGCAAGTGCTCTCGTCAACGCCGCCTATCGTGTTCCTTGCAATCACAGGCTGTACCGTGTGTGCCAGCTTTGGCGTCATACTCTGGCATTGGCTTCCTTTCTGTGCTCAAGACCTTGTCCGACAAAAACAGCGTGTCCAGGCAGCCTGGCCAGTTGGTTTTGATGCGCAGAGTGTTGTCTCACAACAGTCGACTAGGGTCGGTCGGTCGTTTCTGAGACCGGGGTCTGTGGTAGCTGCGGCCCCCATCTCTTCAATGAGGAATTTGTCGCTGGGGTCCGCGAAGCAGCAACGAACAGCGGGACCCGCCTCAGCATTTCTTCGGCCGTCTCGCCTCTCACCACAACCTACGGAGCGATGTTTCTCAGCTGTACTGCCGCCAACGACTGCACACTCCTTCTCCTCGCGGCCCTACAGTCTCGGCGGTTCACCAACCTACGCTGAGACAACCGTCCCCCTTCACTTCCCTTTCAGACGCTCCCCGGATTCCTGGCAGAGGGTGAATGATGAGCGAGAGGAAGTGGACAGTCACATAACTAGCATCAGCCAGCGTGTGGGTGGACAACAGCAATATTCGCCCCCCTCCTTACTGAGTGGTACCTCTGAGAGGCATTCTCGAAGGCGAAGGCACCGTCGCAATACTGGGCTTCTTCGTTGTTGCATTTACTTCCTCTTTGGACGAATCGACTCCTGGGAAGATGTGAAGGCGGAACTGATATGCCTCGCGAATGCAGTCATGGTGGCTGCATTGCTTATGATGATTGCGCACCTTTTTTATACCCTTGGTCCAACCTTGTTCCTCTGATACACATGCAGACAATATACCCCTTACCTTCAAACATTTTCTGCGTCTTTCGCACTATTTCGCCTGTCCATCAACCGGCATATCTTCTTTTCTGCTGGCACGGGTTGGGAGTCCAGCCGCATGCATAAAATATGTAGGACCTACGTTATGAACTCGTTTAGTCTTACGGTCTTTCGCAAGCAGCAGGGATCACCATTGCTTGATTAATTAACGGTGACTCGTGCTTACTAAAGATTTGCGCAATATCCATTCTGCCCTACTTCCAGAATCATTTGACAGTTCGACCGTCGTGAACGGCGATGCCCGCCGTGTACATCATGGCAGGGTGAGGTCAGGAACAGTGACTTTCATCTCCGTGCATGTGATAGTATAGGGAGCACCACATTTTATTTGACAGATTGGCATCGTAATTTGATCAGTGATTATCAACTCTTTTGTCCTGCCATAGCTGTTCTTTTTCTCCCAAAACCGAGTCGATCCGGTGTCGAGAAGACCGGAGGTGGGAGAAGGCGCACCTAGGCGTCCCACCGCACCCCCTGGCCCTCAACGTGCACTGGCCAGGATCTTACACGCCAAGAAGAAAAGGGAGACGATTTAGATCCCGATTGGCGCGGCGTGAGCCTGCGCCTGGTCGTGCCATCACACTCCGATGTTGGCATTTGTTATGGGCGCGCATTCCCGGTAACGCCTGACGGATTACAATATAACCTCTGTGTTGGTCTAGCGGATCTACCGCGCGGCCCGTTTTGGATAAAATCAGGTCGACTGGAGATGAGAGTGATTGCAGTGGCTGGGTATCTTTTTGCCAGACTGCATCCAAACGGAGCTCAGATTTAACTTGCTCGGATATCTAGCTGGTACTAGTTGCTGCGGGGCCACGCTAAGGACCAAGGCATCTCAACCTGGCTGTGGGTTTTGGAAGACGGACAAAGTAGGTCGGAGTGAGGACCGATAGGTTGGTACACACAATAACTTTCATTCACGCCGTGAGAAAGGTACACAATTTGGTTTTTGTATGCTGCGTTGGGCGTCAATTAGAACACCCGTTACGGCTGAAGGCGACATTGTAAGCCACCTGTAACCGGGGCACAGCTACCCGAGTAGGACTGTTTCGTATCGCTGTCCCCACTTGCTGCGTACAAGGGTGATTGTAAGTTCAGTCCCCTCCGACTTCGACTTTGCGGCGTATGACGGGACCTTTCCTAAGGGTAGTACCTGTAGATGTTATTCATCTGCTGCGGACAGTCACGTAAGCTTGGTCGCTAAGACCAGCAGAACAAATACGGATCATCCTAATTATTAGAAACGATGAGCAGTACCACCCTGTTAACCAGCATTAGGTCGGCTCCAAAGATGTAACCAAGCCGATCATCTGACGTGGGGGTGTAGATTGAGACGACATGGTGGATGTCCCCCTTCAAACGCATGATGGTCGGTCACTGCCTTCTGTGGCACGGTGCGGTGCCTGCAACACCGTCTACCAGTGCAGCCACGTAGGAATCTGTGTTAGGGAGGTGGGAAGAGAATAGACGTTGGGGGTGTTTATTTCTCGAAGGTAGGACTCGCACCGGGCAGATGATAGGCGCCAGACATATTTTTGTTGACTCTTCATATCATTTTCAAGTGGGACAGGCATATCACGGCAACAGAAAATGAGCGTCCCTTACCAGTTGGATATCCTGGATGACCGACTACTGGTTCTTGCGAGCGTCGTGTTGTTATTCGTGTTTGCAGAAGATTTCTTAAGTTTTTGGCGAGATGCGACTTTTAATGTTCACCCAGTTTGTGTGAGACTCGCTCCTTCGGCCCTGAGTGGTTGAACACTGCGGGTCTGTAGTGACAATGTAACCTACCACGTGGCGCTGGTTTACTTGCTTCGCCCAAGAGTTATAGGTCAACTGCGACTGCTCTTTGACTTCAGGTGGCATTGTCACTAGTGGACCCACTACCTAGGACCTAGGCTGAACCTAGGAGCCTATATGATTCGCGGTGAGCCGTTGTTAAGTGCCGCACTCATTTGCCACCCGTGGGCTTAGGAGGCAAGGAGGGCACTTTCCTTGGTGCAGTATTGTTTTCCCATACGGCATCTGGATGTTTGGAGGTCTAGCTGACCTTTGTTTTGCCCCGAATACTTAACATTTGTACAATGGACACGGCGGAACGGTAGTGTAGAGCAAAAAGATCTAGTCACAGGTTTCACCAATAAGGAATTTTGAATTGGCATTCGTAGCACTCCAAGAGATTGAGAGAGGAATGTGCTTTATTTTGAAAGTGTAATTCTAGGATTTTCAGCAAAGACGCCTCTCATTCCCGTGGCCAGAATAGAAATTAATAGATGATGAGAGTTAATGGGTTTGCATAAAACTACAAACTACTATGGGGACAGTTCGAGTTCCAGTTTCTGTATCTCGGCTTCTTTACACGTTAGGTATCGTGCAAAAGGTGCTTATACGGCAAAAGATGCGCCGGAAGACACAGCGCATGGGGAGGAGACTCCGCAGCCACTAATTCGGAGTGAAGGGTATGGACGACATCATCCGGAACTCGATTAGCAAATTGCTTGATCGTTGTGAATTGTCCTATTAAGATATCAGTTGAAAAGACATAAGAAACACCGGCAGCAGAAGGAAGCCCCCGGAGACGTATTTTCAGGTGAGCATATATTTTTTAAGCTAGACAAGTGGCTGGCAAACATCATGGGAGAGAGAATGCGTATATTTATAAATCTCCAGGTTAGGGAAACGTGTGTAATAAACGCGCTCACGAATTTTGGTGAAATGTTTTCGGTATGATGAAAGAGTGGGAAATTTGGGGACAGTGCTTGACCAAGGTACTGGGAAGGCGATAATTCATTGGGAAGCATATCAAATGACTCAGGAATGGGTGGGGGTCGCAGTCGAAAGACACTGGACTGATTTCTGATCTTAAAGCAGACCATTTCCAAACGATCATACAGAGACACAATCATTCAGAAACTGAAGATGAGTGTGATTTCTAATAGGGTGGCCAACAACCATATCAGCAGCATAACTAACATATAGGCAATGATTGAGCGATCTCAGGTCATCAATGTGAAATGAGAATAAGTGAGAGGATAGGACTGAGCGACTCACACTTGAGGTTTGGTACTCAGATGCCAACTCCATCAACAGGCATCTAGACCTTCCTTCGGCCTATAAAGTCATACGTCACTTCATACACCGTGACGATGTCAAGAAAATCACACGGAGCCTAAGAATGCCGAGCAAACACGGCCTGTCGACCACTTCATCCAAAAGGGGAACGCAAACGCAACCAACCCCAATTGAGGTGATGACACGTATTACAGGAGGCCACCAACATTCACAGGCGACGGCCAGTAGGCCAAGGCAGAGAAAGAAGAAAAAAATCGATCAGCCCAGGGCCAACTAATGCGGCAGTCTATTCAAAGATGCTGCTCGATTTTTTCACTTGACGCTTTGACAATGGAGAGCAGCCCCAGCTCTTCGAAACGTCAGCCAGAAAAGTCCCCCGATCCGGTGAGCAATACATTCTCCTCAGATAGGATGGAATGTTAAAGGACTCCGCAGTAATTAATAAAAGCAGTCGATTTTCGCTTTCCAGACTGGACAAATTGAGTGCGAAAAACAAATTCCTTAACCTAACAGATAATCCAACCATGGGAGCTGCACTGTGATGCCTTGCTGAGGAGAGGATGGTGCGGGACTGTGTTGAAAGCAGAGTTGTCGAGATATGCATATTCCTGCGCACAAAACCCTTGCCCAGCCTACTTAGAGCAGAGGGAAACACAGGAGCGACAGCATCCAAGGTACTACTTACGGCTTTATATGGAAATTGTAAAGAGTCGAAGATATTTGTACGAGAATGATATAATGGCATCTAAGTCGAATTTTTCAGTGAGCATCAGAAGTGCGGAGGAGCATGCGATTGAGCACAAGGATTTAGAGCCAAAACTAGTAGACTTCTTAGGGGTAGGAGTGATTCTTACTGTATGTCAAGCGTCGGGCATCTTGGACTCCACGAAGGACCTGCTAGTAAGGTCCATGAGCATAGGCGCCATATGAAAAAACAGAGCCTGAGGAGGAGTGATGAGACAACATCCGGCCCGTCAGCTAGTTATTCACGGACCTTTTGAATATGCTTACCCACCATGGCAGCAGGCACAGGACAGAAGACGCACGTGGTGAAAGCGAGCTATAGTTTTAGAGAAGACTAGGGCCACTGTGAGCGAAGATCAAATTTTCGTTTAATAAGTCTAAACTGGTTTCAAAATGTGTCGGTATGCTTCTTTAGCCGGAGAAGCTCATGAGATTTCTCCATATCTCACCAGAGGAAAGCGGAAAAGAAGAAGAGGAGAAAGACAGACTAGCAAGCAGATCTTTCAGTCTGGTAGTTTTACTTTTTGTTAGGACGTTAACCTCCTTTAGACTGTTACGTGGGCATATTGTACAAAGTTCACTCCGACGACTTAAAATTTGAGGTATTGGGACGGAATTCTGTCAGGTCTAGCCATAACAGTTTTGAGAGGACAACAAATGCCAAAAATTTCATTTAAAATGTAAGGTGATTTGAACACGACTCGGCATTCGATGGTGCAAAAAAGTAGGGGTAGCACTAGCTATCGAAATCTGAGGCGAACGAATATTTTGTGTGTCGCAAACCGTAATTTTCCTCCCCTGTTTGGTTATCAGTGCACGCTCAGAAGTCCAGTAGATTTTCGTAATGACTAGCAGCATAGAATGATTTGATCAGATTGGCAAAGTTGAGAGATCCGAGTTAATTATTTGAAGAAGATGGGTTCACCGGAACAGGTTTATTTAGGTGCTGAGGTAGGATCCCTGTTGGTAGCCGTACCCACTGAAACCACCATTGTACCTACTGGTTCGAATTCAGTAGGTGTGATTTCTTCCTCATTTTGTGCAGTGTTCCTCCTGGACCAACATGCCGGAGAGGGAAGAGGGACGGCAACCCTCTCAGGTTCGTTGTAGTGCCAAAAATTGAGAAACGTATGGTGAGTCTGTGTCGGTAATTTTTCAACTAGCTTCATATGCTCAGACTCTTCTACTTAGCATAATGTGGCCTCACTCGCTTACTCAAAAAGTCTACCGGCAAATTCGCTTATCATTGGCAGACAGTCAGCCAATCCGAAGTCGTGCTCTACTCCCAAATACACGAGCAAGTTATAGCACGAGACGACAATTTGGGTTTCTAGAAAATTTTAAAGGAAACTGGAAAGAGATATTTACAATTATGAGAAGAGGTGAAAGGCCCATTGTCTAAGCAATCAACTTTACTGATTCGAATACATAAGAGCTGATGCACTTAGTATGTATGCAAATCCCTATTTAGTTCATAAAAATGCGGACTTACTTATAAAGTAACAATTTTCGGCTATTGTTTTAGTCAGTGTGGCAGGGTTAAAATTTTCGTCGATAAACTTTTTACCTAGTTTAACACGCCCAAATAATTGCAGGGATTTCCGCATAAGAGAGAAATATAATTTGTTATTTCTTACGTGTAGCCCTGTTTCCGAATGTCTGACCGGTATATCACTTTCTTACGCTTACTTAATATACGTATACAGTTATACAAGCGTAGACACCAAACTGCGATTCTTAGAAAGCATATGAACATAAGGGGAGTCGTTCAAGGCGTGCACTTCTCTGTATTAATGAGGACGTAATCACACCTACTGAAATCGAACCAGTAGGTACAATGGTGGTTTCAGTGGGTACGGCTACCAACAGGGATCCTACCGATGCTGACGTTTCGAAGGGCCTGGTCAAATCTCCATTGTGAAAGCGTGAAATGCACTTAATCGACCAGAGATCCCAAGTGGCGTGTCACGTTGGTCGTCCTCGTGCTGATCGATTTTTCTCTCCTCTCGCTGCCTCGACCTCTCAGGGGATGGTTGACGGACGTAGTGGTGACTCACAAAGCACACAGACAAACCACATCAAATTCACACACGAACCAAACAGGTAAGGATGTTGTGTGCTCAGAAGCTGTAAAAATTTCAGAATGCAGTTGCCATGCGACCGCATACCTACCAAAATTAGCGACTTCCTCATTCATCGAAGATGGACGTACTTGGTATGATGAACTCTCCTTCGTCCTCAGCAGAGCAGTCAATTGCCGCCATTTCATTACCAGCGTTGATTATTGTCATGATAAGTTTCCGGTCATTGGACTTACGGATACTGCGACTGGTAATGCCATTCACTCGCGCGTTCCTCGTGTGCAGGCAAATTTTGAGCGTTGAATATGGAGGGAAGATGTCATGGCGCATGTTACTCGGAGAGAACGGTCGTTCCCGCAATTGTAAAAGCCGATGAATGCAGAGAAAAAATGGCAAGCCCCACCGCAGCAGTTCCAAACTTTGTCGAACCTTTCTGCACCTCGAGAAAATCCCTGGAATTGTCAGCCTTCTTTGCACGCCACTTTTATTAGGAGTTTAACACTAACCAGTGCCAACAGTCGACCAGAGGACCCCTTATCACGATAGGAAATATCAGGAGTCCTTTATTACATCTGATGCAGGTGTGGGTAAAAGAAATGCTCCGGAGAAACAGGGAGATCACTTCAGACGCGAATGGCCGAGCACGTAGAAAACGTTAGGAGGAGTGACGCCAACATACCAATCGCGATCCATGCGACGGACTTGACCACACTTTCGAGTCCGACGAAGTCCGAATTCTTACAAGAAGTGGGTCTTGAACTGGTAAACTCGTGGTTCTCTGATCAGCACCACGTCAACCAGTGCAATCACATCCTCTATATTCGACCCTCAAAAGTTGCCTGCGTAGAGTAAATATCCACACGAGGAGCGTTCGAGTGAATGGCGTTTCCAGTTGCAGTATTGGTAAGTCAGATGGTCGGAAAATTATCACGACAATATCCAACGCTGGTGGTGAAATGATGACAATTGACGGTTCGGCTGCAGACTGAGAGGCGCCCATCATACTAACTTCGACCGTCGTCTATGAATGCGATTCTCAAAATAACTCCACCTTCATAATTTTTTCCATGTGAATAGTTTCTGAATTGCTTTGCTTCTTCGATTAAAACAGCTATTTCTTGAGACATCTTATGTCATAAAAGAGGTTCTAAGCGATTTATTTCCGTTAATTGGGCGGTCTATTTTGATAAGTCAGTGGGGTGTTTTGGCGCTGCAAATCTCCGCACCCTAGTTCTCTCCGTGTTTTGTGTGGTGGTTCTTGACATGTTGAACCAAACACCCTCGTGCAGCGGAATGAGGTTGTGTCTATTTCCCGACCTTCACTGGCTGATTAGTAATATTTGGTAGAACGTTTCGATTCGTTAAAGCATAATTTTGCTATAATTGTTTTACCCGCTTTTAAAAAGACTAATGCATACAAGACCGCTGGGTTTTCACACCTATGAAGTCATTCCTCATTCTGAAAGTCTGTCAAAAACACATTTGACGTAAGCTTATTCGTCATCTGGTGGACGCTAGACTGATTCCTCAAGAAAACGTACCACGTTCAGACTACTAAAATTAAGAGATATCATTTAAAACAGCAGGCTAGGCGGATAACGTCAATATTTCTATGAAAATTAAAAGCTGTTGGTGAGGGCTCCGTTCCTCAACTCGCGGGGCATTTGACTGCATTGGAGTGCTATGGTTTCTCGTCCCAACTCGAATTCAGTCCAGGTAGTCGGATTTCGCACAGTTGAGAGGCCATAACATACTACTCCCTTTACCGACCACTACGCAGAATGTGAGATATTCCTTTACAGGAGTGACAGCTTTGACATATGATTCTATGATTCCTCTGAAATAAACTGTTGCACAGACCGTCCCTAATTTAATTTCCCTCAAGGGTTTGTTATGAAGATTGCACTTCTCTCTTTTGATCAGTATGATAACACCACCTTTTGCATCGCCGTTTCTGGCTATCCATCCACTTGTGACGCGCACAACCCGTCAATTTTCGTGTTTCTCGCTGAAAGTAACGGAAATTTTTAGTCCTTATACGAAGGCCAGAAATGTTGTTGTTAAGTACCTTTTAAAAGACCGTTGGGCTGTCTTCAAGAAGTAGCAAGTTTGGGCTATCGTCTGTGTTCCTTTTGATTTACTCAAATTCCAAATTAGGATTTTCGAACTGCCCGTAGGGGGTGCATTCGCTAGCAGTCCTTTTGGGAGTGGTGAGTCGTCATTTATACTGTCTTCCTTCATATTCTGTCCTAAGCTAAATTAGCGCAAAATGCAATTCCAGTTTCAGGCCCTTAAACAGATCCAGGGGAAAATCCAAACCTATACTGGAAAGCCCTTGATGAGCACAGAGCATTTGTCATTTTTTGACAAAACAAGACACCGTGTTGAAGTCGCATTCGTAGTTCGGCCAGGGAAAACCCCGTCTACTTTCCTGGAGGACATGGTAGTTTATAATAAAACAGAAGTAGTACATACATTAAAAAGATTAAGGACAGTTTGGAATCTCTTCCAACTGCTAGATGTAACTTTCCCGAATGAGGATAATCTCCATGATTATCTTAGTGAAATATATGCACACCGAATGTAGGAAAATTGTAATATTCTTCAAGCGGAAAGCATGGTTGTTGTCAAGCAGGTAAAGGGATTTTGTCAGTGGCACTTTTTTTCAAGTTTGAGTAAAGAAACTCAGAGGTTCAATTTGTAATTAAAATACTCACACTCGCGGACAATAAGTTCGGTTTTGGTTCCACTATTACCTTTCCTGACTCTTCTTTCGCCAAATTCATCCCGAACCGAAAATGAAATTTAATTTTAATGCAAAATGTAAGTCTGCTAATGGTACCTCTGATATCCAGTTACCGTCTATTTAATGCGGACGAAAACTGTCTATACATTCTAACATAGCAAGTGAGGAGGTAGAAAGGACCTTAAGTGGATTTCAAATTATATTCAAAAAAGGCTTCATAATTTATGGTACGATACTCCTAGTGTCCGTCCTCGCAGGTTATTCTACGACATTTCCTAAAATGAGATAAAAAGCCACTTTACAATGAACATAGTCCAGAGAATTAATAAATTGTAATTACTCGGTTGCATGCATTGTCTCAAAGGACGTTTGCGAAAGATTTTTATCGCATAATTATAAAAGGTAAAGCTTTATCCGGGTCAAAAAGCCTTTCTTTGTAGGAATAACGACAGACTATATCTTAACTTTGCGGTCCTAGATATATAAGCTCCTCAAAAGCTCCATACATTTATGCCCGTATTTCGCCGTTTTTCATGGCCGTAAGACAATGTCACAACTCTGTCAACAGGAACTCAGAATTCCATTTGGTCTAAACAACCAGGTAATACGTAGTGACGTTGGAAATAAAGTTCAAACTCAAAGTAAAAATTCGCAAGAAAACGTCTTGTCATTCGGCTAAAAGCCCACGTCTGAGAGGATTAAATCAAAATTACATAAAATGGTTTAGGAACGGTAAAACCCCTCGCGGACCCATCCATGATTAGAAGTAAAAGTTGTTCATGATCTTTTATGTGACATACAATTTGTCTTCATCGTGAAAAACGTAGATTTTATTGGACACGTTTTTCTTTTATTTCGAATTCGCTTCCACGGGGGTCGTCAGACAGTACACTGTCCGTCTGATAAATGCACTTAACTCTACCATTACCCGTCTCATTAGGGAAACTTTTGGTGGATGTTTACAGTAGTGCATTCTTGCAGCTAGTCGTATACGTTCGACCAGTTACCTATACAACACTTTTTTCCGATCGAAGAGTAGTACTTGATGAAAGCATTTAAAATTAAAGTTTTATTTATTGGCTGCTCCACCCTCAACCACACGACTCAAGTCGAAATACCATTAAAGGACAAAAACAATTTTTTTCGACTTAGTGGATACAACTAAACAGTTCCCTTGAAAGTGACATAAAAATAAGGACAGCGAGTCTGAATGAAGTTAAGGGATTAAAATATGTTTTCGTAAATTACAGTTTCCTAACGAAAACGCATTTAAGGACTTCTATAATGGCATCTCTATTTGTTTGGTAAATTATGCCCATTTGACTGGGGGAGTCTTTCCGGGAGAAAAGTTTCCCACTTTCCGTTCAGAATGGACATGGCATTGCAGCATTAATATAAATGTCCTTGCCTTCTTCTGTTCTTCTAGCAGTCACTGAGAAAAGTCTGGGAAATTTATAAATCAGTCGATGGACTGGTAGTCGTGTTTTGAGGCAGTAGGAAAATCAACGCAATGGCTGGCCTCCGGTAGGAGTATTCATGTACGAATAAACTACCCCATGATAGTGAAAGTATGTTTGCTTACGCTTTTACTACCCGACCTTGTATGACTTCGCTAATTTCTGGAACTCCTGCATCCGTAAGTCAGTTCATGGGTCAAAACAAATGGCCCAAGGTTTATTTTTGTACTGCTATACCCAGTTAGCAGACAGAGCGTCTGGAAATTGTAGAGCTGATAATACATTTTTCGAGAATTCAGAAGTCGGAATACGATTTCACACAGTTCATTAACAGCTCTGAAATTTCTGTCTTCCCTCTTATTGCTTGTCAAAGCTTCCTTAAAGTGCTTACAAGACTATTCTAACAATTCAAGGAGCAATCGAATGAATAAGCATTTTCCAATTTTTCAAACTACAGCACACAATATTTCAAACGGAATATGTCCTTTTTCTATCTGTCTCTCGTGTTACCGTTGAGATGCTGTTTTTTTAGAGCAGGATGCAACAAATTTTCCGCGGAGATTTTAATCAAGAAACCTACGTTTACGCGTTTTGTTAAGACTGTAGGTGACATGATAAAGCACGTTCTGTCGTTGCAGTCAACAAAAAGTCAGTCCTTAACTTCCGTGAACAACAAAAAACATCAAACGAAATGAATTAACCGTCCGTTTTATTTTGGACCTGCTACTAGCATATAGTTCCTTCTTCCGATTGGACAGGCTTTTCCTCCAAGAAACGGAACTTAACTTCGACTAGCAAATGCAGTCCAAGCCACAAATGTTTTTTGCATGTTCACAATGCTAAGTCTGCAGCCATTTTTTCTGAGCTTATTTAATTATCACTAGAAACGCTGAATGCAATTTTAAATTAGTTCAATATCCTGTGTCATCGACGTAAACATTTGTCATTGAGCATTTTTTGACAGGGATTCTGTAAGTTACATCACGGGAAAATTGATACTTTCACCATGAATACTGCAGAACCTGATGATCCACGCTGAATTTCAGAATGTTACTGTGCAAGCCATATTACACAGAAGAAGGCGATTTCCATACTAAATCTGCTTTGCATTATTTCAAATGAAAAATGAGATGGTACTTCCGAAATGACAAAAAACCGAATAATTTGGTAAACCAACTATTATTAGACTTTCTTGGATTGATTGGCAGTACTTTCAGATAGATTACACAGCCAGTGCCTTTAGTCCTCTCTAATGAGTTTACCGTTGGTAGTTCCTGACTTATCGGTGTTATTGGGTCTTCCTCTATGACTGTAACGAATGATATTAAAACTAAATTAATTGTAAAGTCAGATGACAAACACATATTTTCGGTAATCATCATAAGGCCATGAGAGTTACATGGAATTTAAGTGTTCTTAGTGCCTCGTCACGTCCTCGTGCGTTAAAAGGAATGACCTTGTTAAAATGTTAGTGTTTTCTAATAGATGCGGTATTTGTGAAAATATTTCACGACATGGCTATATTTGAGCCATACTTTTACGGTAAAACCAGCTTGCACTTTGTCGAAAGCAGACTTATTTTATGCGCTTACAGAAATTTATTGTTCTATTCTGCACCGTAAAAGAGAAGAAAAGATGAAAATGATTTCCAAACCGTCTGCAAAAGTCAAAATAAAGAACCACGTACGTTTTCAGGGTACTGAATGCTTCCGAAAGAGTTGCGTTTGCCGAAACGAAAGATATTCCCCTTTTTGTGGCGGAGATATTGAGGAGTATCGAACAGATCACCTGGAAGGTTGTCTTCCAGCCCCATCGTCTCTGTAAGCATCGCAATTGGGAAGGAATCCCGTGCTAACGCAAAGAATAAGTCTTATTAAGCTAATCACTTTCTAAGCTGACTGGGTGAAAACTTGAAATAAGGTGAACAGTGTTTTAGTATATAACAAGTTTCAGTGCCTTTTCTCTGCCCTTCGGATTAATTTTGGGAAATTTTTTACAAGATGACTATCTCCTGCTCATTGTTTTCACACATTGTCTATAGCATTTGGGCACTGATCCTTCGTAGCCTTGGAAACAGCCTCGCCTTTCTGCTACAGAAGTTTCCATCGAGGACAAAAGCCCAAAATTAACTAAACTCAGTAAGAATTCTGAAAAAAAGTCGAATTGCGGATTTGAATTCTGACTTGGTTCTACCAACTGACATGGTGTATCATTTGCCTCCCCTTTCCGGTTGAGGTTCACTGTATAAGAGTGCGTCTTTCAGACCACAACGTCAGATATCTACTGTTTTATTGTATAATTTGTCCTTATTTGTTCCAGAGTGTGAGCGTTTTATTTATTGGTTTTGCTAGACATCAGAGGAATCGCCATTTCATGTAAACCGATATTTGTTGTCTTCGGTGTTCCCCTAAGAAATTATTCTTGCTCATCTAAGCGCAGAGTAATTTTGTCAGAGTTATCTGATTCATCCTTCTACGAAGTTTTTACTCATTTCATTTCATTATTCACTAGATGAAATTCGAGGTAACATACCGTGGAATGCGAAAAGGTAGCTGCATACTCTTGCACTGTCCCAACGTTTTCTGACATTGAGTTAAGACTGGTCTATACTGAATTTATTTGACTCTTGTTATTTTTTCTTAGATGTCTATAATCTTCGTTAATTTTATTTCCAAAACCCCCCACTGCATCTGTAGAAGTCCTTTAACTGTGTGCGTCTGAACAAAATCAGGGGATCCAGAAATACCCAAATTCGGTTTAGAGTGACTAAGACAGCGAACTTTCGTTGGGGGTTGAAAAAGGGAGGTCCTTGAATGCCCCACATGCGACACCATGAGGCAAAGAAGTGCAGACACAAATTCGCATAGGGTTATCTTTTCAAAGTAGCTGCCATTTAAGGGCACGGTCACGATTAAACTTTCCGTTACTAATGAAAAAACCTGCATTTTAAATAAACGTTTGCCTTCAGTACACTATAAGTAGAGCAAGAAAAGAGTAGAATTCATAGGAAGCCAGCAGATTAAAACGCAGTAAATGGTCGTCAAACTTGAGCTATCTGCTTAAACACCTCGCTGTTCCCTTCATGCATATGCTGCGGATTTCATCTTACTACCAACTGGAGGATAGTAGTCTGGTACGTTAATGTTTAGAAATTTCTACCATCTCTGACCGTAAACATGGATCCACATTACTCGTGTATCTTCATTTTAGAACTTCTGAGAAATAGTTTGGAATAAAAGTCTTTGATGACTATGTGACCGTAATCTAATACACTTCGTAAGCGAATGCACAAACAGGCAGTTTTGGGACTTATCCTCCTTTACAAGACTGTAAAAGTTGGGGGTCAATGGTAACTTACGTATATATCTTGCGTATGCCAGTCCAAAAACGAGCAGTATCGAGAGACAGGTAATATTCATTTGCCTTCAAAGAAAAGAAGATTGTATAAACAAACTACGTCCATAATTAAAAAAACTGGCATTCAAGCCTAAACAGCATGAAAACAATTTAAGAAAGAACGATTTGACCGTATGATAAGTCAAATGGTCAAGTGGGGTTAAAATACTCCTAAGCCTACAGCATTTATAACAAAGACTGCGAATACTGACAAGTCCGTTTACTATTCACACACTTTATACTGCGACTGGCCACCTGTAGGCAGCTTGATTTACAATTGGATAACAATCTTCCCTAATCATTAAGCGTCTTATTGGTCAGCGGGAAAAGGCTTAGATCCCACCCTTACAGGAAGAACACCTCATCATTTCATAGGCCAAACTAGATAACCCGGGTCTAAATGTTAAGCTCTGATTGTATGCAGGGTATTGCATCGAGAAAGCTTAAATGTCACTTCGTACTTCCCTAGTTTGGCTCTTAATTAAAATAAACGCTTTCAAAGACTAGTAAAATAATCGGTCACATGACGTCACAGAATACCGTTCCCATGCATTTCTTAAATCCATGTTGTTGCAGTCATCAAAAGGCAAATTCTGGAAAAAATGAGAGCGATACCTAAAAAGTTATGTCATATCCGATTGTGAACGATGGCA